GTTTTTTCCAGGGATGTTTCAGTTCATGGTGAACTATTTTTATTTTTTAGTTACATTAACGCTATGAAATAATTAGTCAGCTAATTAATCTGGTTTACAAGCTTTGTAGGATTCTTCAGCTGTCAGTCAGGCCCAGGCCTGAGGCCTACATCTAGTCTTAGCTCTCTTGCCCATGTGATTCCCGTTGCCATGGCTACTGGCTACATCTGCTGACACCCCACTCTCTATTTATTGCTTAATTAAGAATTTCACGCTCAGCCCTTATCTGCCTCTAAGAACAAGCACACACTGTTAAGAAATTCCAAATTTAGGCCCAGGCACAAGGAAAGCCTTTCTTGCAGACTTGGCTGGTTGGAGCCTCTCTAACGATCTTCTCGGCATCCCAGCCGCCACCCTTCAATCAAAAACCATTAACTGGGGCAGAGATAATGAGCATGTAGCATATCAAAAGAAGGATGTTTGCTGGATCCAAAGGAGGAAAAGCTGCTAGGCCCCATGCTCAGCTCCACTTCAAAGGGAGATGAGACCCCTCGTCACTGGGGCCTGATAAAGCCTCATTTGTTCTGGGCTTGACTTATGCAAAAGGTCTGGTATGTCAGAGTCTCATCTCACAGACGTGGAACCCCCCCACCTCTTGTCTCTACCTCCACCAGCCCCCTCCCTGGTCTTCCACACGCTGGTGTGTCAGCACTTAGGCAGCTGGGTCCCCCAAAGCATCAGGCGAAGCGTATAATCACTGACTCTCCGCTGACAATGGCCACTTGTAGGGGGGTGGCCGGGAGGAGGTCTTCATCACAATAGGAACACAATTATTGCAGCTGCTAGGGAGGGCTATGCTTCTTCCTGTAGAAATATAATAGGACTTGCCTAAAACAGGGAGACAAGATTGGAGGGAGGTGGTGAGGGTTGAGAGGGGTGGAGAAAACAACCTTGAGTTGATTATTCATATTCTGACTCTTGGAAGCCCCATGCGGAACCAGTGGGGTTCCAGCAGCTGCTCGTGCACAGCCCTCTTCTAAT